ATTTTTGAGGCAAAATACCCAACAAGAAGTTTGCGAAAAAACGAATCCACCTCAACAATATAGAACTTATCTAAAAGTTTATTGTTACATTATTACAAAATAAATATGGTGTAAAAATACAAAACTTTGTAAAAAATGGCTTACCTAAATGGCTCTATACAAAAACGCGCGTATGTACAACAGTGGTCTGGTCGGTTCCATCACAGCTGCGTTTCGTGCCGATAAGCCCTCCTCAAGGGGCGCACCAGTGCTGGCGGCGGCGGATTACTGTCCGACTCGTCGTCGCCACTGTCCACATCCCCATCACTGCTATTTGTCGAAGCAACCGGCTGAATTGGACGTCCCATTCTTTGGCTAAACAAACGAAAAAAAAAACAAGATTCTAATCAACTGCTTGGATTTTACGTGCTTCAAAACTCACCGTCTGTAGTACTTGAACTCTCTGGGCAGTGTGTAGGAACGTGGCAACGATATCTGACTTTCCAGATCGGAGCCTACTGAATGATGGGCGGTGCCGTTAGTGACGGCTCCTATTTCTGCCAATTCTGCGGGCATTTGAGCGGTCAGAGCCAAGCCGCTGACTCCATCGCAATCGCAATAGAGGTAGCGCGGCGTCAGCAACAGCTCGGGGGTTCTACGAGCGCTTAGTTGAGTGGGGATCGAGTCACTTGAGGGTACCACATACCGGTTTCTAGGCGCTCGAGGTGCCGGCCGCCTATTTAGGTTCACCCCATAACTCACGAGGTTGTTGAGCGACGCCAAGCTGAGCAGCTGAGGTTCCACATGCTTCTTGACGCGCGGGATTGGCTGCCGATCGTCAAAATCGGCACTCTCCGGACCAACCAGCTTGCCTGAAATTTGCCCAGTTAAATTCGCTAAAAGGCTCGGCATAAACCAGCACTGTGGCAACCTTGCTTTATCTCCTCCTCGATGATCTTCAGCTCGGCCAGCTGCTTCTGCTTCTTCTCCTGCAGCTTCTGATGGATGTTCACTCTGGAGCCCACACTGCTGCCTGAAAATCTCCCACTGGTTAACGCCGGGGGCACGCCAATGGCCTTGCTAGTGACTCACCCTCGTTCTCGCTACTGCTGGGCAAGGGCCGGCGCCAGAAGGGCACCGCCACGGGGCCTAGGGGGGGCGGCGCCCCATTGGACGGCGGCGGCACAAAAGTGGTCGGCTTCTTTTTCTTCCTGTTCGGGGCCGAACCGTTCGAGCCCGCATAGCCAGCGAAACGGCAGTTGAAGACGCCGCCCCCGGGCGGCCCCAATTTGGCCGTTGGTTTCTCCATTAGGCGGCGCACGTGGAAGTAGCGATAGTAGAGCAGCATGAAGCCGATGCCCACGAAGAAAAGCCCCACTGTTAAAGCAGGCACTAGTGGAAATATTTCTGTTAGAAAAGCCGCACAGGAAGTGGCATTGTGAACGTTTTCTGACTGCCGTGTGCGAGACTTTTTAGCGCCCCATACACGGGCAGATTTTCCGTACAGATTTGATTCGACAGATCCAGATCGGACGAATTAAACCTTTTCCTGTCCACTAATTAACATACCAATGTAAACATTACGTTTAACTACGTATTAAATATTGTATTACTTATACAATTGGTTCAAAATGCCACATTTTTGCAGTGCCGTTTAATGCGGAATGTG